AATTTCTGGACCTGCATGTGCTTGAAACATGTGCTTTTAATGCCGCACCAAAGATGCAGGTGCTAATTTCAGTAATGAGTCTTCCAAACTCAAGACTGTAAAAGGACTGAAATTTCATCAATAAAACAATTTCTATTGTTTTCACTTACAACTAGGATAAACTCAAGAATCTAAACACTTTCCTAAAACATAACTTACATTATTAACCAGTCTTGGGGAACCAAACCTATATATACTGTATTTTATGTTCATCCATATCCAGGCTGGTTCCCAATTATCCACACCATTAGTATAGTGTGACCTTAATCTCTCTTGTTAGACGTTTTTGTAAGTTTGCGTGCTAATGCTCGTTGATAGTGACCGGTCTCATCGTTGCTGATTTTGTGCCATGCCGTTGGCAGTTGCGACACCTTTTGGGTAACGTATCTTTATATCGTAAACGAACAGATTACATATAAGTAGTACAACTTTGGAAGAGATTTTACTTTCCTGGATTTATTTCACAGCGTTTGAAAATGGACATATTATCAATGGCATTATGCCTGTAACATTCCATAAAAGAAAATTCAAATCCATTTTCAAATTTACAGTGCATAGCTAAATATATAATATAAAAAAATAACATTGTAAGCTTACCTTTTAGTTTCAAAGGTCATGTAAGGAATTGGAGGGTTAGATATAATGAAGCGAAATAGGTTATCTAATAGTCCAGTTTTAAGCAAGTGTTTTGTGCATTGCCTTTATTTATAATGTTATTGGATATGAATTAATTGGTTGTTGAACTTGATAGAAAGCATTATTGTTACTTTGTTGATTCTGTAATTGGTCACGTTCGGGTTGATTTGCACTTTGATTGTCTTATCAAGTTTTACCGTTAGCAACATATGTCTTTGAATATGAACAGTATTTGTCATTATATTTTCATATTATTCAGCCTATTTGCTACTATGATCTCTAGTCTGAAAAAGGTATTTTTAAAATTTCCTTCCGGTAGTGAGTTTTTGTTTTTCTTTCTGGAGGAGGCTCATCCTATTATTTAAATTACCTATTGTTTTCTTACGTTTATGATGCAATTAGTTAATATTACTCTTTCAACTGTGTACGATTTAATTATGTTAAGCTGCTTCCACCCTGTTAATCAGTTAGCAGTTTTCGTGTGTGAAATGTTTCTTCAGATCTGTTGTTACTGCGTGTTACTCGCCCATTGAAAGCTTATCCATGCATAAAAAGTACATTTTAACAATCCTTTGCACAGTTATGTCACTGAATAAGGCCATAAATAACTTGGTTTAGGCTTGAATCAATTTTCCATTTTTTTACAGCGTACAACGTTACCTAGGGTGAATTACTCTGCTCCAGGTAAAGTGATTTCGAAATTACATGCGACGGAAAGTTACGGAAAGCAAGGTTTACATGAACATTTGATCATGACTATTATTCACACCAATAGATTTAAGCTTGATACATCGTGAACTGAGACACAAGTCATTTGGATTTTGTCAGTGGTGGGCTTACTTTCCAACATCGTCCTATGCCATAGGGGTAAGTGTCAAAGTTTTGTTTTATTTGATTTGTGAAAACTTTTCTCGGTTTTATGTTATGTCGGGTGATAAAGCTTTGTTATACTGCTTGCTTTGTTATTTCCGTTTTAGTAATAAATAGTTTGTTTTTTTTAGCCTATTGTAACCTATTGGATAGTGGACATTATGGGAGCATAGTGAACACTATGAAAGCTATTTGTACACTAATTGACATTAAAAGAGCTTATTGGACATTACTGGGCTGACAGTCTTATTGGAGCTGACGATGTCTTATGGGAGATTGTATCCAATAAGAGCTGACTATAGCTATCCATGGTTAATAGCTATCCATGGTTGGATGTAACTATCTGTATTGCAGCATGCTGTCTACGTCTATGTGCATAAATACATTTATGTATGTGAATTAATACATAAAAAGGATATGTGATGTATATGAACGTGGATCGATAAGAAAGATCTAGTGAAAAACCATCAAAGTTTGTAAATTTCAACAAATAATTTATTTTCCTAGAATACAAAGTGTGAAAGCGAAGCCTCAATAACATCCCAAATAGTCATACAAGTTTTATCACGAGTCCTGGGGTTTGATGTTTCATCTTAATTCCATTGGTATCGAAAATATTTTACATTGTGAATGTGTTGATGTGCTTGTAGTCTCAAATATACTGATGTGCCAGTGACCTGAATTGTGGCGATGTATTAAGATCTTGTGATGTGACACAATGATATAATCCACATATTTTCTTTTCTCAATTCGCTATAATCCAAAGCTAGTATTTCTGTCCTAGAATATTATTGATGAGTACTTTGTATTTCCAGTCAATAATAACCCGAATAAATATTCCAACCAATCTGAAGCTCTGAACAGAGCAATAAGGGATTCTTCTTCAAGATATTAGGGCAAGAGTTAATAAGTTTTGGATAAACAAGATTACTGAACAATCTATTTGACCTAGATAAACAAGATTACTGAACAATCTATTTGACCTAGGTACACAAGATTGCTGAACAATCTATTTGACCTAGATACACAAGATTACTGAACAATCTATTTGACCTAGATAAACAAGATTACTGAACAATCTATTTGACCTAGATAAACAAGATTACTGAACAATCTATTTGACTTAGATAAACAAGATTACTGAACAATCTAATTGACCTAGATCGCAATTACCACTTTCTGAAAATTGTCATTTAAAGGAACTTTCCAGTCAAGATCATTCTGAGGGCATAATCAAGATTGCATTTTTAATTCAAATTCAGGTAAGCATGTGTCTTTAATAATGATCTAAATATTTAATCCACACTCAGAATTATTAACTACGTACTATGTTTTTTGCAAAGCAAATGTCTCTGGTCAGGTACGCATTGAACTTGATTCTGGACAAGAGCAAAATACTAAATATAAATGTGTATATCATATAATCATTAGCAAAGTCAACATATAATAAAAATTAAAAATATACATGAAAAAAATGTATGAAGTACATGCATCCGGACAGTGGATAAATAATATTGCTGTTATAATTGTTGACAAAATATGTAGAATTATGTACAACGATATATCAAAGTCGATGCAAAATTTATTCGAAATAAACCTCTTTAGATGACGCAGTTTGAAATGATCAATATTGACAAACTAGTTGTTACTATAAATCTCGTAGAAGAGGGTCGATAATTTTTCTCAATCTTTGGCAAACGTACGGCTGTCATATCAATTGCGACGTAAAATTAATGAGGAAGACGATTGCAACAGGAATTTTTGGGATGATGCATCAGAAAATGGGCATTTTTAGGAAATTTATCACTATGGGCACTCCTTTCTTTATCTTCACCTACTAGTAAAAACAAATAGTCACAATACTTATATGACCTAATTGTTGGATAAACTTGAATAAAAGACAATAACCGCTATACATCAAACCGAAAGTATTAGTAAACTTCGTAAAGAGATACAAACAAACAGAACCTTAAAGTGATCATTTTGCCACAATTTGATTACCGAGCTTTCTCCACATGCGGCCATTTTGTTTGCATCACATGCTATTATGGTATCTACTTTCCTTGAGATGTAAACATAACCTGAAGGACTCGCGGTACTAACGATATGAAGGAATGGGAACCAGTTTAGAAATGGGCGAAGATAAAATGAAGAATATATATATATATATATATATATATATATATATATATATATATATATATATATATATATATATATATATATATATATATATGGGTTTGGATGATAGAGAAAGAAATTTAGTAAAAAGGAAAGATCATTTGAAAGCTTTTCGTAGTAAACGAAAAACAAACAAACTAAGGCGTTGATGTATTGATAGACCTGGGGTCGGGAACCTACAGCACACGTGCCACCAGGTCGCATGTCAAGAGGTTTTGTGTGGCACTCGAAAGACCGTCAAAAATCGCGATTTTATTAGCTTTAATTTAATTAATTGAATTTTAATTAATTAATTAATTATTTACTCTCCTACCGGTGGCAAGCACTCACTCATTTTGTAACAAGTCTGTTAAAAAAAGTGGCACTCTATAAAATAGGTTGCCAATTTCGGTGAAAGACTTTCACTCCCTTTACAGACTGGAGTTTGAAAGAATCATTACCGAGATAAGCGCTTGACTCTTTGTTGAGGTATTCAAAGCATATTCAACCGCTCCGGTGACCTAGTGGTTAGAGCGTCCGCCTAGGATGCGAGATTGTGGGTTCTATCCCCGGTCCAGTTATACCAAAGACTTACAAAAAGGTACCAACAGCTGCCTCACTTGACGCTCAGCATTAAGCGGTTAGTGTTAGGACTGGTTGGCCTGATGTCAGGATAATGTGACTGGGTGGGAGATCATGCTACGTGTGCGGTATGATGCCCCTGTGATAGACATTACTATAAACTGCCACACCGCAGACATCGTAACGATATGACTGAAAAATTGTTAAAGCTACGTTAAAAATCATAATCACATCAATAAATATTACTATCAATGCACATTTCTAGGTCTATTTGTGGATAGCAAGCAAATTTAATACCTTTTGTATACGTCAAATAGGCTTTCCAATATGGCAACTGTTACCAAGAAAGCTGAATGGGGTCCATTGCGCAGAATGTGTACATTTGGACATGCGAGGCTTGTTTTGTAATTTGGTTAATGTTTATGAATTCTGATATTGAACATTGTTATAACTTGCTAATTATCAGGTAATTATGTTTCGCTACGTGATATTTCTTAATTGTGTTTTGAAACATTATGCTTCCGATAGGTGACTTAGGTCTCTATTATCATGGCTAATGGTGATGATGTTTCATGACTTTGTGTCCAACCAGTTTTGTAAGTGAATATTTTGGAACTTCATTTTAATTGTCGAATGCCTACATTACTTGGGTTTTAAGTTATATGTGTTCTGAGGAAATATGGGGTAGTTTCTATCATTTAATTTTTTCTTACCGCTTCTGTGGCCTAGTGGCAGAGCGTCCGCCATGGATGCGGAAGGTCGCAAGTTCAAACCTCAGCAAAGTCATATGAAAGACTTTCAAAAATCATGCTAACAGCTGCCTTGCTTGGCGCTCAGCATCAAGAGCTTAGCGTTAAGCCTGGTCGGCCATGTGTGAGAATATTGTGGACTGCATGGGACATGATGTTGCATGTTTGCGACATAATTCCTCAGAGCGAAAAACATCACTATATCTGTAACATTGCTGACACCGTGGTGAAATGACTGACAAATTTTTCAAGCTTCGTTAAAAATCTAAATTATATATATATATATATATATATATATATATATATATATATATATATATATATATATATATATGAAATCTCATTTTCTGTAGTACTGCACGCACATAAAAATGGTCACTTTGACGCTTTACTTTTTTATTGCACATTATGATAAGGCTGATAATAAATTTCAATCTTAAATGTTAAGGCTCATTTTTTTTTGTACGCATAAGCCGTTATCAATGATGTAGCTGTACTGAGCACTCCAAAATATTAGGTCATTGATTTTTATATCCTGGCATTTGCATATGTTTACTATGGGAACTGAATTTGTAACACGAGTCCAGAAAGTCAAATGGATTTATATTTTGTTACCAATAGTGGTAAGACATTAAACCTTCGCACTAGTGTTAGAACAGTAAGTAGTTTTGGAGAGCAATCAAATTTAATACCCTTTTTATACATCATAATATATTTGAATAGAAAATACAGGTCATAGCCATTGGAGAGATTGAGATCCTTTGAAACCAACCTATTTTCATAGAGAAGCAAATGTTTGTGAAAATAAATCTTTATATGAAATAGAAAAGCTTTGAAACATTCACTCTCAGCTAATTAACTAAATGTGTTTCAGAACTAAATTGAACATTCGTAACTGAATCATACGGAAACGTTTCCTGTGCGATAATGCATTTTATATCACACATCATCAAACCTTTGTGTGCACTTTGTACGATTCAAATAAGTCTGTGATAAGAAGTTCATCACGTGGACGGAAAACGTTGATAGAAGCTTTTTGATACAATTGTTACTTTCGTTCATAAAATGCGTTGCTTGTATAAACAATGAATACAAAGTCAGCAAATATTTTAGATGTTCTGATTTAGATTTTCCACTGTTGGCAGTTTCCGAGTTTGTTTTCAAAACGAGTGTTGGCATTATCAGGTGTATCTTTTAAAAGCGTTAAAATGATACTCTTTATAGATTAAACGGCAGCGTAGTGACCATGGCCGGCGAGACAACATATTATATAAATTTCATCTACCATACTTCTTCTCTTTTTTGAAAACCAAACCATCAGATTAGACGATGTCACAAACGACATCCCTAAAATTCAAAAAAGATCTTTTATGCGCAAAGCGCAAAATTATTTACCCAAGAAATCCAACTTGGCAAACAATGTATTTTAAAAAAATGCAGAGTGGATGTATTTTGTTTACTGATTGTATATCTAACTTAGTTCATTGAAAATTGTGATTTCAGTGCAAAATTAAAAAAAGGGATACAAGCGACGAATGCAGTCGTTCTGTAAAACCAGATTCAACATATGAAACTTGACCTGACGGCAAGAATATTTGTTTTTTTTTCTAATTACAATTCATGGGCGATTTATGTGGAAGTAACCACTCCGGTAGCCTAGTGGTTAGAGTGTTCGCCTCAGATGCGGAAGGTCGTGGGTTCGAGCACAGTTGAGTCATAACAAAGACTTACAAAAATGGTACTAACAGCTGCCTCGCTTGGCGCTCAGCATTAAGAGGTTAGTCTTAGGACTGGTGGGCCTGGTGTCAGGATAATGTGACTGGGTGGGACATCATGCTACATGTCTGCGGCATGATCTCCAATGCTAGACATCAGTACAGACTGCCACACTGCAGATATCGTAGCTATATGACTGAAAAATTGTTAAACCTACGTTAAAATCATAATCACATAACATCACTTATATGGAAGTATAGTGTGAAGTATACAGACATATCTTATCTTCGTGACGATTAACAATGTATGAAATTTTGGTTTCATTTTACGAAATATAATTTGATTGTATTCTGGCGGCATTTGTTCTGACTAAAATTGTCGAAGTTAACTTTCCGTGCTATTCGAATTACAAATATATCCCCTGTGTACGCATGTGGACAGTTTTAGGACACAGATCACTTTTTAGAATCGATAAATGTAAAAAACTCAGAAAAGTTGTACAGGGATTTCAATTTTTCAGCGGCAGCATATTTGTGTTCTTTAGCGAGAATACTGACGTACAAAGCAGCTAGGAACGTCTGCAGCATTATGTGCCGAAAGGAAAAGATCTGTTTATTATCATCCTCTTCCTTTGATACGAGGCCTATGCAAACGCAAAAGTCTTTCATGAATTTAAGACTCTCTTCATCATCACAGCCTTGGCTCTTGAATACAGTGTCGAAATAAGTCTCATCAAACGAAAAACTCTCACTGTTGATACTCAAAATGTTGAAGGCTATCTCACCTATTCCTTGCATAATCTTTCCATAGTGAAGTGTGAATTCCTTGTTTACAAAGATAAGACTGTTGCCAAGATCAGAACTATATTTTGTTGTGTTCGGTGTAAGAGAACGACTTTTCTTTTTAATTCTATTTTCTATCACATTCAGCATAAAATCGGCAGTGTTACGCGGTAGTGAACAGTTCGTTTGCCACATGGTTACAAGAGAAGGAAAAAAGATTGGTTCGATTAACAATTCTTCAAGTCCTCTTTCTTTAAGTAATAAGAAAAAATTCTCAATTGCTTTGTGAGGAAATCCATGGCCATGCAGTATCCTTTGTGCACGTTTTTTCATTTCATCCTGATCAAGTCCCTGCACAGAAATGATGCGGTCAAATGAAAGAATGTCTTTGTACTTGTTTTCCCATGCTGAAGGTCTTGATGTAACAATAATCAACGATTCTTGTAAGTTTTCATCAGACAAAATCTGCCTTAGGTCTTTTGGACGCCCGCGATATTCCTCAAGACCCTGAATGACAAAGATCGCTTTATGTTCTCGTAGGTGTTTACAGATATCCATATTCAAAGTATCAAATATCGGAATTCGTAAATGAGTAAGAAGCTGATTTATGTTGGAGAACGTTTCAACATTTTTAAGAGATACATTGAAGAGAAGCTTAAAATTTCTCAGGAATTTAATATTGTCATGATCTGTATCGGAAATAATCTCGGACTGAGCATTACACCAATCTTGTGTTAGATTACTACACCACGTCTTCTTTCCCCATCCAACTTCACCAGTAATTAAGATTCTCTTTAAAGGTTCTCCAAGCTTACACAGGACGTCTGTATACGAATGGATGTCAATATTTGGTTCATGCGAATTATCTGAATTAAGCTTGATTTTTAATTTTAGGTCACTGTCTGCTTTCTGAAACTGTGGTCTTTCTTTGTAAATATCTATCAAACTGAAGGTCAATGACTTCACACCTGCAAGAATTCAAAATAACATCACATAACTATATTGTTAACTTTATCTTTATAAATAGCGTGTAGTTTATATAAAGACTGCACGACGACTATCTTTATCTATGTGGATCACTTGTTTGTTACAAAACAACTTTTTCTGCGGTAAAAGAAAATGTAACAGATTTACCATTTGGATGAATATGTTCCGCGTACCGTCAACTTCTTGCTTTAATATTTTCGTTGAGCAGAAATAGATTACTTCCCTTAAAAAATAAAATATTTCTCCTAAAGCAATGATTCTGTTTCGATATTTAAATTACATAACATGGTTTAGAGATAGTCAACGTAAACGTCAAATAGGTGATAAGTAAAATCAGGCTCGCATAGTTATTGTTCTCCGTATTGCTTAGTTTACACACGACAGGCCTTACTACCGAGTGCTCCTAGAAGCTGGCTACATACTCGGTTTATGAATTATTTTGAAATCACCAACTCTCCTAAATGAAACAAATAGGTAATACAATATAGCAAAGCTATAAATTGAGACATAAATACTAATAGTACATGCCCTATGCTTAATACACTAACAAAACTTAAAATAGAAAGAACACTGAAACCATAGGTCAGATGGTACTAATCAATTTGGTCGTGTGTAAAATGTTAAATACAGTCATAGTGGAATATGGTTTCCAATGAAATTTTAGGATATATAAACCATGACATTTAGCAAGAATTTATTAAGTGGGAAATTTTAGCCATTTAATCTCCTACGCCGAGCGTCATTGTCGTTGAAATTTCGTAAGCAGGCAATTCACTTTCAGGATTCAAATCCAGTAATCTATACTGCTCTTGTAACTAAAAGACAAAATCCGTAGAACATAAAAAGAATTCCATAACAGTGCAAGGTTTATGTGAATGTTCTTATAACGATGATGCAGAAAAGTTAAAACAGTTCCATTTGACCAGTAAGATTATATTTGTTTTTGTTATAGGGTTTAACGTCATCTTTCAGCACAAGATAGACTATACATGGCGGTCAGTATAAATGGTGGAGGAAGAACCCGGGAATACACCTAAAAAACACCAAGCCACAAGAAGCTACCGGCAAACTTTCTCACATACCATCATTGGTCAAGCTCGAGACTCGAACCAAAGTAGACATAGGTGAGATGGCAGTGATCCATAACGGTTATTTAGACCACTCGGTCACTAGAGGCTCCTTGACAAGAAAACAGTAACGACTGTAGTGCACACAGGTGTATAGCGAGAGCGTTTTGTTTTGTTACTCTCAGTACATAGTTCTTCCTGAAAGCGGCAAAATGTATCTTGTGTAACTGACACATCAGATATCGAGATAAATATGCAATAATACCACAATGAGACGCTACTGGTAACATTCTACAATGCAGGAAGCCAACAATTAGGAGTCTAAGCAAGTGCTTTAAGGACTCTTTGAATGACAGTGAAAGTGTAGTAGACATGAAGCGACAAGGCCAAGACAAGATGGAAGCCACAAGAAATGGCGGGCTTTCTGGGAAGCACAATGTCTTTTATCATCATGGCATTCTACCAATAATACTTTGGCCAGTTCCAATATATCATTTCGCAGCATCACCTTGTACAGTATTTGTATGAACTGTCATTTACCGCCATCATCAGTTACAGAGCAGTTCAACTTGACTTAAGGCCATACACGTAGTGATATTGAAAGACATTGTGTGTTGATGAAACTGATACAAGCAGTCGTGGAGTAACGGGCAGGAAGGAATTGTATGAAACCAAAGACAGCTGAAGAGGCAGAATCCAGACTGAGACACCGTGACATGGTAGGCACAAGAGCAACCGGAAGGATGGGGATGTAATGTCATAAGATGCGTAAAGGGCAAGCAGCAAACATTAGTGAGACGCATGTCATGATCCAGAAAGTCATAAAATAGCTAAAGGTCAAGTAGCAACCATTAGAAAGAAGATTGCCATGATCCAGAAAATGTACGTCTTGAAGAAGAGGAAGACGGAAGAGTAAAATACGTCATCATGAGGAAGCAGCTGGATTGGCTACGCTTAAGTGCGAGTGACATCTCGAGGACTGATGCCCAACAAATTAAGATTCCTCTTACGCTATGTCCTACCACTAATAAGCCTAAAGACTAATTGGATGACTCAATTTGTGAGCATTGTCAGAGGATCTCAAATTTAGAACATGTCCTGTTATTCTGTAATATAACTCTAACAAATCTGCATTATCGTTGGCACCATGACCATGTGCTTGCTGATATCAGTATGGTTATAGGGAGTAGAAGGAAACAGCAGGTGAAAAGTGGTTCAAAATTCATCAGCTTTGTGAAACACAATGAAACACAAAATCAAATAATTGAAGCAAGATGCATTTTCACAACAGCACATGATTAGAAAAGGCAGGCAGACGTAAGAGGACAGCTGAAATTTCCAAGAGATATCTTTAACACCAGCTTCAGAACTGATATTTTACTATGCTCATGCGGTACGAAACAAGTGATTGTGTTACAACTGACAAAAGCATGGGAAGCTAGAATGGAATGGAAGAGGAATGGAATAGAATGGAAGAGGACCATCAGAGGAAAGTGGACAAGTATCGGCCAATAATGCATAGTGTCGCACAAAGGATGAATGGATGGCCTGGAGTCTACCGATGGCCATGGCCATGGCTCTACATCACGGACCTTTCGACGTGAAATGGGAGTCGTCGTAATTACAGGAGGTAGACGCAGGAAGTTATTCCTCAAGGTTGGCAAACAAGCCGAGCAGGTCTCGAATTGGAATCTTCGATCGATCGATCGATCGATCGATCGATCGAGAGAGAGAGAGAGAGAGAGAGAGAGAGAGAGAGAGAGAGAGAGAGAGAGAGAGAGAGAGAGAGAGAGAGAGAGAGAGAGAGAGAGAGGAGCTGTGGAAATCCTAATCAGGTCCGGACTGAGTTTGATCAACTTGTTGGGGCAAAAACCGTAATATTTAAAGAAAGCATGAACATAATAGATCACACAACGCCCAACCTATCAATTCAATGCATGTTCTTTTTGTGGCCAATATGATACATAGTTAGTCGTATTTACACAAAAAGTTTAATGTACGATTTCACAAAGGTCAGAACATAATTTACTAACACGGTATAAATTAAGAAAACCTATTACAGCGTACACTGGTTCAATTTCATTGTCAATATACTCGAATATTGATTTCATAGAATGAAAATAAACATTTACTCACTGCGAACATTTTCTCCCAGGCGTATGAGA